TCGACTGCATTCCTGCAGAAGCTGCACCGATCTGTCTGTTAATCTCCCGTTCCATCATTCCCTCACTCGTGAACAAGACCCCAAGATACTTGAACTCCTTCACTTGAGGCAGGAACTCTCCAACAACCTTAAGTGGGCAAACCACCCTTTTCCGACTGAAAACCATGGCCTCAGCCTTGGAGGTGCTGATTCTCATCCTAGCCGCTTCACACTCGGCTGCAAACCATCCCAGTGCATGCTGAAGGTCCTGGTCTGATGAGGCCAACATGACAACATCATCCGCAAAAAGCAGAGACAAAATCGTGTGGTCCCCAATCCGGACACCCTCCGTCCCCTGGCTGCGCCTAGAAATTCTGTCCATAAAAATTATGAACAGAACCGGTGACAAAGGGCAGCCCTACCAGAGTCCAACATGCCCCGGGAACAAGTCTGACTTACTGCCGGCAATATGAACCAAGCTTCTGCTCTGGTTGTACAGGGACCGGACAACTCTTAACAGAGCAGAGGGCCACGGACCCCATACTCCCAGAGCACCCTCCACAGGATGCCGTGGAGGTACACAGTCGAATGCCTTCTCCAAATCCACAAAGCACATGTGGATTGGTTGGGCAAACTCCCATGCACCCTCCAGCACCCTGGAGAGGGTATGGAGCTGGCCCAGTGTTCCACGACTGGGACAAAAAAAAAAACACACTGTTCCTCGTGAATCCGAGGTTCTACTATCGGCCGAATTCTCCTCTCCAGTACCCTAGCATAGGCTTTACATCCATACATGATACATCCCCCTGTAACTGGAACACACCCTCCGGTTCCCCTTCTTGAAAAGAGGGACCACCACCCCGGTCTGCAAGTCCAGAGGTACTGTCCCCAACCTCCACGCGATGTTGCAGAGGCATGTCAGCCAAGACAGCCCCAAAACATCCAGAAACTTGAGGTACTCAGGGCGGATCTCATCTACCCCCGGTGCCTTGCCACCGAGGAGCTTCTTGACTACCTCGGTGACTTCAGCTTGGGTAATGGACGAGTCCACCTCCGAGCCCTCAGCCTCTGCTTCCTCAATGGATGACGTGTCGGTGGGATTGATGAGATCCTCGAAGTATTCCTTCCACCGTCCGACGATATCCCCAGTTGAGGTCAACAGCTGCCCACCTCCACTATAAACAGTGTTGGTAAGGCACTGCTTCCCCCCTCCTGAGGCGCCAGACGGTTTGACAGAATCACTTCGAGGCCAACCGATAGCCCTTCTCCATGGCTTCACTGAACTCCTACCAGGGGCAAATAGCCCAGAACAACATAGATCCTAGGATCATTTGGGTACTCAAACCCCTCCACCACGATAAGGTTCAAGGAGGGATATATATATATATATATATATATATATATATATATATATATATATATATATATATATATATATATATATATATATATATATATATATATATATATATATATATATATATATATATCACTGATTCTTGAGAGTCGGGACAAAACACGTTTTAAAAAACTTTTTTTTAAAATACACACTATATCAATTATAGTTGTATGTTTCTGCAGAGAAAGGTCTTAGCTATTTAACCATGTTAAGGAACAGGTTCTAAATAAAAACACATTTTTAACAAATAAACATGTTTCCCTTCAGAACTGGATTTGTGTCAACTCCGTCAGACACACTAAAAAGTATACAATTTTAATTCTTCCAATCCAAAAAGAATCTAAATTTCTGAAGTATATTGTAATAGTGTTTAGTTACTCTGATATGTAAAAAAAAATACAATATATAAACTTAAGTTGTGATTTCACACTATTCTGAAAACTCAGATTTCTAAATATTTGCATTTCCAAACTTTGATTTTAATTTCAATATTGTAAAAACAAATTCCTTAAATAAATAAAACATAAGATGATGTAGATCAGATGGTCCTTTATTACAAAAACAACATAAACTGAAGGAAGAAAAAAATTTTCCCCAAAAAATTTACAAAAACAAAAACATACATCCAACGCTGTTGATGAAGATCTGACGGAGTTGATGGGAAAACTGACGGTGTTGATGAAAAACTGACGGTGTTGATGAAGATCTGACGGTGTTGATGAAAAACTGACGGTGTTGACAAAAAATGTGTGTGCATTGTGATTATTGAACAGATGTGCTCTTTAAACTACTACTAAAACTACTCCTTGTTATTAGAGTATTGAACTTACTGTAAAGCAAACTATAAGCACATACACCGTTTCCAACTATTCTAAATTACACCGTTTCCAACTATAAAAAACAACAACAAGGGAAACCAGGGGCCCTCCTCCCCCTCTGTTTTCATCTACCTCCCCTATACCACTTCCTGCTCTCCTTTTTCTCATCCACCTCTTCTCCTCTTCCTTTCCTCCTTTGTAAGTAGCCATTTACTTTAAAGTGGCGTGTGTGTGTGTGTGTGTGTGTGCGTATGTGTGTGTTTGGGTGTGTTGGATGTGTGATTGCCCTGCACTGCCTACTTTATACTGGGTGTGATCTTAAATTGACATTCCTTGACAACAATACTGCAACACATAATCTGTAGCTTAGAATCAGGTTCAATTAGCTTACTTAAGATTTCATTTTTGTCTAACCTGCGCTTATGCTTTGAGCAGCAGGCGTCGGACATGCGTATGGTTAAATAATGTAATGCATGCTATGTATGTGCATTTATGTGTAAATAAAACCCTGAAATAACAGTTTAACCCTTCACTATATTCATAAATAATATTATATTCGCACATTAAGAGGTTATTGGTGGATTTGTCAACTCCGTCAGCTACAGGTCAACTCCGTCAGGTTCTATGTTCTGACAGAGTTGACGTCTGACAGAGTTGACGTAAGGGCATGTATTTTCCCGCCAAAACATGTATTGTACACTGCATCTAGGTAGTTTTTCCTCAGTTGCTAGCTGTCCCAATAACCTCACTAAAATGCTTAAATTCAATCCACTATGGTTTAAAAAAAAGTATCTTAACAGAAAGATGGTATTGACATGGTGCAGCTGTGACCATAGGAATATTGACATTGTTTGTCTAAAATATAAAAAAATGTAAAACGTTCCAGAGCATGTGTGGTAGTGCTGCATTCACCACAGACAGGGAGATGAAAAGGGGTCCTCAAGGATATAGCTGACCATGCTATTTCCTGATTTAAAGAGCTTTATGAAAAAATCTGACGGAGTTGACAGAAACTGAGGACACAACTTTAATAGGCAGATATTTATGGAAAATATTGTTTGATGTTCACTTCATGCATTGTTTTTTATATTTATACCCCTTATCTTTTATTTGATATATATGTTTTCACAATTGTAGAGCTTTTTTAAAGTTTTTTGGGATGGTTAATATTGTAACCTCTTGCTGAGGACAAGTGCAATAACATGGACCATCTAACCACAGACCATACATTTAAACAACTTTTCCCCAAAAAGATAAAAAAGTTTATTCTAAAAATCAGATAGGTATATACAATTCCTTTAGATTTAACTTTGTAAGTATGTCATACTTGATGAATTTCTTCATTTTTGCTATAAATTAGACTTTTCTTTGTGGGACATGTTTTGTCCCGACTCTCAAGAATCAGTGATATATATATATATATATATATATATATAATATCATAATATAAATATAAACAGTCATGTACTACATTATAATATAAAAAGTGCTACACAAATCTACTCTTGCAATCCATATCAATTGTACTTTGTAACCAGAAATGTCATTCTCACCACATGCTGTCATTTCCACCACAGAGGGCATGTTCCACCACATTTGTTCTTGATGAAAATTTAAATTCCCTCCATATCATGTGTTCTGATGTCACTGAACATTTCCATAGAAACCACCTAAACAATCATTCACACAAACTTTTTAAAGGGACATTACAGTGTTCTGGTGGAAATGACACCAATACTGTGCAACAGCTATATATAAAAAGTAATATTGATAGTGGTCTCACATTAAATCCATAATGTATTTTAATTATTTTACTAGTGCTTAATTTAGGTAGGCTATATTAAACAGATAAGTCGTATTTTTTAACTGTATTTTCATTGGTGAAGTTAAAAAGTCTGGGTGTGCGACAAGGAGAAAACTGATTTTGACACCTATAAGGAGGTTGAAAAGTATGAAAAAAATCATAATAGAAAGGTGGCAAAAAGTTAAGGTGGTTTTATTGTTAGTTTGACAAAGAAAGAAGAATTTGTCCAAAATTTTTATGTATTTTTAAAAATATGACCAAATAAAAGTGCCAATAGTCTAAGAATCACCCAGAAACTGAAAAGGTATAACATACTGAAGTTGCCTACAGTTTCACTATTAGAGATGCTGCACAGACTGATATATTATTGTTCGGCTTAATCTGTATCTGATTTAGAACGTGCAGAAATCCTAAAGAAATAACAACCTAGACAAAATAGATTTGGAGTCGAGGTTCAGGCTTCTCAAGCCAACATCAAAGTTCACAAACTTTTGCCTCTAGATAGCAAAGTAATATTTTGAAATTATACCTGCATTATAATATTCCACTGAATTTCTTTGAAGTAGACCATGAATTCACCCAGCCTCAGGCTAAAGAAATTTCCCAGAAAGGCTGTTTTTCAAGCTAAGTGAATCTAGGGTTAAGAATTATGGACATATATTTGTAGTGTGCCGACAAAATTGCGGTCATTTTATGTCACTCCCCTTTAAATCAAGTGAGCACTCAATAGTGAGCGAATTTACCAATCCAACTATGTGGAAGGTTTAACTCATGAATTTTAAATAGACCCCAATGACGTGGCTTTGCAGCCTCCCAATGCAAAGACCTGTTCTTGAATATTAATTAGTCCATGTTAACGTTGTTAGTTAACCCTCCAATAGTGAAGAAATTGCTCATGCACATTAAGAGAGGAGCTCTTGCCATAGTAGGGATCGTAATTCGCCGACTGAGACCCAAGACAAACCCGAGTGGGCAAATCTGATCCGCTGAGCGTGAAGTGAACGGTCATTCCTCGGGCAGAGCTGAGGTCGGATCACGGGGCGTGGGCTCACACGGAGCCCTGGCGGAAAGATCTGTGATTTATATCAGATTCACATTTAGAATACACCAGGACACTTAATAAAAATGAATCGCGGATCGGGAAAGTCGAGTGATGAGACGCTTATAGAAATGAACCGAACTGCTTGGTCCAGCGGCGGTAAGTGCCCGGAACACTCCTTTACTCGTTTTCACACATAGGAATGTTTAAAAAAAAAAAAAAAAAATACCGTTTGTGCTTTATTCTGAAGTTAGCTACCACTTGTGTTAGTTCATTTATCTTATTCAAATGGTCTTTTTAGAGTTAATGGCCTGAAGAGTATTTTACAAATGCGCACATCCGTTCCGTCCAAATTGTGCGCGACAGTAACATGAGACAACAGCTTTAAACTTATAAAATGATTATAATAGTTTAAAATTAAGTTAAAAAAAAAAACTTTAAACCACTCTTTATTGGATGTATTAATATAGGCCTAGCCTAAAGGTATAGTCACATTTACATTGCATTTTCCTATAGTCAATGAATTTTAGTAAGGGCAAAGAGCTTTAAAATATTTTTCTAGCACTTTTCTTGTAAACACCAGAAAAGTGTATAGGCTACTACATGTTGATAATACAGTTGTACTCTCTAACATAGTATAAAGATGAAAAAGTATACTGTGCAATACAGTGGGTGCACACAATGACAGGGATAAACTCTCATGGACTAGTTCTAGTTGTGACTGTATAGTTAAACAGAATAGGCTGATATACTCATAAACTTCCCCTTTAAAATCCTTGATTGTGTTTTTACCTTAAAATGGTCATGTACTTTTTCCTTCTCTTTGTCATCAGTGTAGTCTACATGCCAACAGCCAAAGCAGTTTCTATTAAACTCATTGCAGTTAAGGGAAGATTCTGACTAACAGACTCACTGAACAGCTCAAAAACACTGTACATTCCCCATAATCTGGGCTATGGTCATAGGGTATAGAGTACCATATAAAATAGGTTTTTAAAAAGTAGCTTGATAATGATTTAACAGTTTCAGTGTTTGTAAAAAAAAAAAACAAAAAAAAAAACAGAGCAGTTGATAGTTAATCCAAATGACTTCTCATTTACTAATGCAACCACTTGATATGAATCAAGACACAATGGATATTGCTGCCTTTGTCAGACTTGTTTGAATGTTGCTGACTTCAGTTTGTCTTCACTTGTCCCTGCATGATGTGCAGCATTAGAGGAGTTCCCTGATAAACTGATAAAGGCCTCTATAAACTCATCTGCAACATTTATATTTTCAACTTTGTCTTGAGTTAACACACTGTGAGTGACCACACACACTAATTCACTGCCACTTAAACCGTAAAAGTATTCCACTCAAAATAACTGTAACTAGTAATCCCATTTTGACATCATGGTTTTATGCTGCATGTCAACTAACCACAAGATAGCTCTCATGTGCTTTGTTTATTTTCCTGTTAGCATAGCAACCATTCTCACTTCCAGTTTCACACCAAGTTGCATTGCTTTCTTACAGCGGTCAAGTGTTCATGAAGATTGTATCTATTAGCTGGTTCAGGTTTGATTAGCATGGGAGCTTAACTGCAGGATGATAGATCTAGGAACAGAACAGAGCAGTCTTTGTCCTAAAATATGCAATATATTAGGACAAGACTGATTTAGATCCTGTTGCTCAAACAATAAAGAATGCTAGCAAAACTAAAGTCATGCATACAGATATACTATACCTTCAATGTATTGTACGTTTCTTTGAGTAAATGTAAAATAATGGTCAATGTCAATCAAAAGTCAGACATCTGCATGCAATGAGAAGAAATATTAATTGAATCCTTTTTAAATGAATCCTGGCTTGTTCGAAAGACCACTGTCACATGGATAGGCTATACACACACTATAAAAATGATAAAATGTTATCTTTATATAACAGCAGAGATTGTTCATCTGAAAATCATTGGTTTGATAACACACTATTGCATGATTTTATGGGTTTTGTCAAAGCTGCCTTTCTTCGAGTCAGATAGAAACAAGTTCACACAAACATGACAATTCTCTCATCATTCACTCACCCTCGTGTCTTTTGTGCTTGAGATTCATTTGAGAAGTGAGGGAAAATATTAAATGAACTGTGTCATATTTGATATAAATTATCAACAGGAATGAAACTGTTGAACACAATCTACATGCCTTCTGTCGCCTGATTGATAGTTTAGCCTATAATTTTTTAGAAAGTAAAAAGTCTAGTATAATTCTAAAAACGTCTCCTTTCAGCGTGTGGTTCACATGTTTGTTTGTTTTTAGCTGTGAAATCTTTAATGATTTGTAAACATAAGGATAACATTTATATTGTTAGTATTATTTTGATGAACACTTACTGGACTGAAGCAACTTAGGTATACTTAAATATCCATACCTATTTTTATTCTTTTTTCTTTTTCTTTTTAGAAAATACATGTTAAAATATGATACATCAGGCTTTTGAAGAATGTTTAATTGTAGCCTGCATCTATAAATCATCACTGTTTTGCATTGCAATGTTTTGCCCTCCAAAATAAAAACTACAGCGCTTTAATCATAAAACTAAGCATTTAAATATCATCTTACAAAGACAAACAATTTGCAGACATAGACCTGGTTTAACAAACAGGGCTTAGATTAAGCCAGGATTAGCCCTTTGTTAAATAAGGACATTTATAGCTTTTATAAACGTGCCTTTAGAAAAAAACAAAAAAACATTATTGATGTGCATCTTTTTGAGACAAAACAACGGCACTGACTTTTTAAGATATGTCAGTGAAAGTTGCTTTCAGTTAAAACGGCTCAAACATGCATTTTTAGCCTGTGACTAGACCTTAAGAAGATTCTTCAAGAATTCTACAGAAAAGATACTCAAATATCTACTCAGATGTCTATGTTTAGAAAGTGCTGCATGCTATGAGCTCTGGAGCAATTCTCCTCTGGTAGGTGTTATACATGAGCTTGGCCTGCAGTAAATTTCGCCTGATCTGATAAGAAACCTTCTAGTATCCAGCTGTATTTAGATGTAAGAGCTGGTTTTGGACTATGTGGCTTCATATACAGTCAGTGTTTGGGACTGACGACAGCCGTATTTACTATCAGGCGTGACAACCAAATTGTCCTGTTGACATACAACAGCAGACTGAAGTACATAGTTTTTTTTTTTATTATTGATATATAACCAAAGTCAGCTCTTATACTTGCTACTAATGCTCCATAGTTACACTCATACAGATGATTAATATCAAGATTTGCATTGTATCTTCAAAGATTTCCTTTTGTTGTTCTAAACTGTTCAGCATTTCAGGACACTCAGACTGTGTTGCGGTCAGAAACTCGTGATACAATATATAAAGCAATATAATAAATGTTACAACAATAAAATATTCAGATGGAAAGGTTCCAGAAACAAAATGTTCTATGACTTGATCGCAAATGAAGATGGATGGTAATAGGGACAGTCTTGGTTATTTCCCTTCAGTATTGGACAAGTGACTTAAGCTTTTGGAGAAGTAGGCCTAAGCTTTTGGAGAAGTAGGCCGAAACATAATTTGTATTTGTGTCTGGAATTTAAAAATTGTTAATGTCTGCACCTTATTGTGCTTCTGTGTTAGTATGGCCAGTGTGTTTGTGTATCTATGTGCTTTTCTGTTCAAGTATGTTCAGATTTTTTGGTTCAATGTGAGGAGCAGCAAAACAAGGGTTTCTTGTATTAGATAGTTCAGCATATCTGTTCGACCAAGACCTTTCACCTCATTTTTATCCCCAAAAGTTTGACAATGTTACAAATTGTTTTATCAGAAGGAATTTACATTGATTTCACAACAGCTCATTTTTGAAGAAACAACTAGAAAAGGGAAGATTTTTGGAAAAAGGGAAGTCATTTGAACATCTATTAACATTCCTTATTTTGTCTTTTTTCTCTCCAGAAGAAAACAACGGCTTCCATACCAGTTCGGATAAGGAGTCGTTTCAACTTGAAAATGCTGCGGTAAACATTCTTATACATTCAGACACCAGTTTAAGTCCTCCTGATCTTCAGTTTCTTACGTCAAATCATTTGATAGTGCCAACACTAGTCACAAACCTGTTGTAAAGATCTGCGTAGACCAGAATGAATTTCCATGCTGGTCCAGGCTGATTTATGCTGGTTCGTGGTGGTTTAGTGCTGGTTTAAGCCTGTTGGGAACATCAGCATCTAAAACACAACAAATATTGATGTTTTCAGCAGGGAAATCCTTCAAGGCTTTATGGTGTAACCATATCTCACTAGCAGGTGAAAAAAAATGTCATATCTTAAAGAGATACTTGAGATTTTGTCCAGTAAGGAACCCCTAGTAACCGGATAGCAACAAGCTAACAGCCCTCGGCAACCACCCAAAACACGGATTGTTTATTTTAATCATTTTTTAATCATTTTTATAGGGTTTTCACTTTCAGTGCATTCATTGTTCAGCCAACTATAGAAATCAGAAGCAGGTGTCAAATAGCAGGTTATTGCATTAGTTAGTTAAGCGTTATTAAAAAAAAAATATTAAAAAAAAACATCCTTTGTTGAGATAAATAGACATGCTGTGACTCAATAGATAGGTTTTCAAAGAAATGCATTAATAAAGAGATGTTTATGTTCATTAAGAACACAATGCAGGGAAACAGATTATCCACATATAATTTATTAGCTCATATTAATGCTCAATGGTCAGGTAGTGTTTGCCTAGACAGGTGTCCTTGCTTCCATCATGACACATTCATTCAAATTCACCTTTGCCCATGCACATCCATTAAGTTTGCATATGAAAAATAACTTGTTCCAAAACAACTTCCAGTGTGTTTGCAGTTTTCTTAGTCTTTGTTTTGGTTTTCAGGATTGTTCATTGTGGCGCAGTTTTACCAGTAAAACAAGTTTGTTTTGAGAAACTCTATTGTGGACTTGAGAAACAGATAGTACTTGATGGATTAGAGTTGCACGATTACAGATAAATTGATAATCACGATTGAAAAATAAATAGAGATCACGAATCTCCTATAATTCTGAATAGACAACTAAACAAAATAACATGATGTAAATTACTAAAGGTTCTTACAAAATAGTAATTGCTGCAGTCTATATAAAAATATTGAATCTGTTTGAATGAATGATTCAATGACTCACTCTTCACTTGTTTCATTACTAGATGAATTATTAGCATTTAACTAATCTCGTGAATGAATGATGTAATGACAAATACATGTTTTAACAGTCACTTGTCACCACCTACTGGTGTAACAGTGTAATCAATACAATCTTTATTTGAAGCGTCAAATTACTGATCGCTACCATAGACATTAGTGTTTATGTCCGAACTGTAAACTTTTATTCCAGTACTTCTGTGATAATTTGAATTGATGTAAGAAATAATGTCACTGTGTGCTTAAAAAGTCTGTTTGTGAAGCGGTTTCATAGCAGGCAGCACCAACGCAGATGTGGATGTTCGCTGTGATCGTACTTCTCAAAGGTTTAATAGACATAGCCGAATCGTTATCATTTAGGAATAAGATCTCATGAGTGTTTGAATCAAAATCGCGATGTTTTAACGAATAATCGCGCAGCTCTAATCCAAAGATGAAAATTCTGTCATAATTTGTTCACCAGCATGTTGTTTCAGACCCGTATGAAGTTTCACAGAGTGTTCATAATGCATACAGTGAATGGGGACTGGGACTCAAAAATGACAAAACAGCACCACAAAAGTATCTTAAAGTCCATACCACTGTAGCCATGCAAAAAACTGAACAGTATTTAAACATTTTCCCCTCTTTCACTGCTCTCAAATCTCATTCACACCTGCGTATATTCAGACCTAGCATGTTGTGTCAGATTTGTTCTCAGTAGCCGTGTTTCCACTGTCGGGCCAAAAGCGAGTGCACTAGTGTGTGCCAGTCACGTTTCCACTGTCACTTCTGGGCTTGGTTGGGCCTTCTCAGGGCTTCTTCTGTGCCAACAGCCAGGGGTTATGACCTGCCGAATACCTTGGCCCAAAGCGAGCCAACTGGGGCTTGAGCAGTGGTCATGTACAAAGTCAGGAGAGGGTCAACACCGCTGCTCATTTCCCATTTTATTACATCAGGCTACCAGCTAAACTCAACATTTAAGACATTTAAAACAATTCTCAACTCGAAACTCATTATCAGACACCAGCGAGTGTCCTAAATAACTTCCGAATGCAATCCGATAGGGATTCTGATCACAGTATGAGGCAGAAATATATTTATATACGATGCTAAAGGCTACTTATGCTAACCATTGATAATAATTACACATATAATGGAAAACACCAGAGACTGCTTGAAGAACTTAGACAAATTACTGTAGCATTTTTTATTGTTAATCATTGGTCAAATATAGATTATGGAGTCTTAAGATAAGTAAAGACCAAATTTTATGTTATTTTTTTGCGCTCTAGCTAGTTTTCAGTCAGCTAGCTTCCCCATGCTGGTGAAGTAGTGGGGTTGTGTGACGTCGCTCTATGGAGGGGTGTTAAAGCGGGTTTTAGGGTAGGGCTGTTGTTGGGACTGCTGGCATGACAGTGGAAACACAGCTTGATTTGGTCTTCGCGGCTCGAGTTGCTATTGCCCCGTTGTTAGCCCTGGCTCGCACTGGCTGACTGTGGAAAAGTGGCCGGTCATACTAATGTCTCGTAACTCATCATGACACGTTGATTTTGAATAGGCGCATTCATGAAGGAGATTTTCATTGAATTAACATGATTAAATATTTAAATTTTAGTCAGTTTCCCACAAAGTTATCTTAAACGTCAGAAGACTTGGAATATTAGTCAAATAGACTAATTTTCCGAGATATGTATAATGCTTTAAAAAAAAATTGGGCGGGGGTTGGGGAGTTTACTGACCCCTAGTTTCTAATCACTTTTATTGCTAGGAGTTGAGTGAACATTCTTGAAAATGTCTTAATTTGTGTTCTTCCACGGAAGAAATAAAAGCATACAGGTTTTGAATGACATTAGGGTGTGTAAATAACAGAATTTTCACATTTGGGTAAACTAATTGTTAGCCGAATTGTTCCCCCTTCTCATTTCCCCTCAGACTCTGATGAAATACTTTGAGTTTTGCTGATTTCTGAAAATATAAAAAATACTGAAGTTCACTTTATCTTCGCTGTTATCTGTCCACCACCCTTCTCTATATTTTTCTTGGCTTTTTATGGTTTTCTTTTCCTTAGACTGAATCAAGATAAGCACACTCTGTTGCTCATATGTGACTGCCGCCCTTTCTCTTCTCTTCTCTCTGTTCTGATTCTCTTCCTGTCTGTGTAGTCCATGGTGAGTGTTGTCTCTGAATGCACAAGCACTGTGTCTGTTTGCTCAAGTCATTCTTCAGTGGTTGAATGTGAACAGTGTGAGCGAGAACACACTGAACCACAGCAGCACCTCTCCAGCTTTAAGGGGGTAAGAAGGGAGTGTGTTTGTGTTGTGTGTGAGTTTGAAGTGTGACTTAAAGGGGCCATCATGGAAAACACATTGTTTATCATAAAGTTAAACATCAAATATTTCATATTGAATAGGCTATCAAGTCATCATAATAACTTAGCAGAATTAATTATAAATTAATAACGCTATAAAGAACTATGAAGAAAAATAAACATACAAAGAACATTGATGGAATAAAAGAGCAGTTCGCAAAACTTGATTGTGAAATCGTGGACTGTAGGCCAGTGATAGTTGTGTGTTCAATGATATGAAAACATCTAAAGTCAAATTTCTTTTTATCATGGATATTTAATACTTTATGCATATTCCACAATATAATGTACATGTATCAATGAAGGAATTATCCACTATGCAGAGCTTTTCTCATCAAGTGCTGATAAATTCATTTAATTGCATGCAATTAATCAGAATATGATATCATTCATTTGATTTCTTTGGGCCAGATTTACTAAACAGGGCAAGTTAGCATGAGAGCGCAATTCCAAAGAAGCGCAGATGGGAGTGGAAAGTTCTGGAAAGTTAATTTATACAAATTAAAGAACACAGACTCAGCGGGATCATTTCCATAATGACACAACACAATCTACCAAGAGCAGCGCAAATCAGCGTCTGGCTTAAAACATGCTTTTTTTGGGGCGGTAAATAATGGCGCAAACACCAGTAAATTGACTCACGCAAACCTTAGTAAATCACCTTGCATGATTCATTTAAATATTCTCCTCCTGTAAGTTCTGTGTCTTAAAGGGAAACTCCTACAAATGCATATGCAATACCTGAAATAACCCTGTCCACGACTTTACAGCGCTAATTCTTCACTGCGTGTCTTTAGTAAATCCTAGTTTGTTAACGTCAAATGAGGGTTTGCGTTGGCGCAGTAAATCTGGCCCATTATGTTTAAATAAACAAACAATATGACCCCTTTTTTAAAAGCCACATTCATAACTAAGATAGGCACTAAAGCCTCTTGCATATTTCCTTTTTGCAATTATTAATATTATGCTAGTATTCTCTACTCTCAACCAGCGTGTCTGCATGTCCTCATAGCGATGGCCGTTCACTCACTGCTTGGAAAACCAAAGGCAAATATGAGAACCTTTGTCCTTGTAACTTAATTCACAGAATTTGAGTAATATTACTATATTGCTGTTGATAACATGCTATTAGATTATTTTTTATAGACTTCATTAATTACAATAAAGCATTCTGAAATAAATGAGTAACAGATGAACATCAAATGGACTTTCGCCCGGTCGGTTTATTGTGTAGTGTGAACATAGACCAGGCGTTGACATTTGTGTGCTTTATCTTTTGTACTGTGTGTATTCTAGTGTCATTAACCTCACAACACACTCAATTCATCCACAGATCTGGAGAAAGAGAGCATTATTTCTGAAGTATCGCTCCAGGGTACGCCACGGTAAAGAGGGCTGAACTGTGTGTGTGTGTTTGCTTTAAGTGAGCATCTTGCATTTTGATCATATTAGACTATTATTGTGTTGTGAAA